TCAAAATAATTTCCTTGGGAAGGGTTGTTACTCCAGTTTAGGGTTAAAAATACACAAAGATATTAAGTACTTATATGCTTTGCGTACATTCATTCTTCCCAAAGCACCGTTCTGCAAGGAAGACACTGAGAAGTTACGAGGCTAGGACCACACAGCTAACGCACTGTGAAGCTGTGACTCAGAATGATCCAGTTGGGCCCAGCATGCTGCACCTTAGCCACATTCGATTGTGGTTTACTTTCCTTGAGTTGGGGAGGCCTAGCAGTGCGGAGGCCTTTTATTTCCCCCAAGGGCTTTGCTGATCTTGAGAGGAAAGAGTCCTGAGTAAGGGAGGATGTCTCCCACTCTCCACAGCTGGATTTTCCACAGGTGTGATAAAACGAAAGAGATTTTAGCGCTCAATTATACCTTAAAAAAGAAAAAGGCGACCCTCTACTCAAGTGGGTGTACAAACCCCATAGCCAAAATAAACATAATTGGATGCCTGCTTCAAAAGTCAGTCACCATAGGTTAGAGGCTGTCTCCTCCTGTGCGGCATCATTGAACAACCTGGTCTGTCCCACGTAGTTTACCCACCTCTTACATTGGTGACCAGAGCACCTTCACAGGTGGGGCTGTGTCTATGCAGCTGCTGTGTGTCAGGAAACCAGTTTAACAAGAGTGTGTTTCCTGTGAACCATGCGAGAGGCCTCAGTTCACTCTCTGCTCTCAGCCCCTACCTCCTTGGGCACATTAGAATCTGAAAGGAAGCCAGTAAAATGAAACTGCTGCAAAAAGTTGCTGATTTAAGCCAAATCTATGAACTCCTTTTGGAAATCAGAATAATTCTTCTCAGTTGCTTTGCCTTAATGAGAGTCCCACCTCTTCTGATAAGTACCCTGGCATCCTTTATGAACTACAATTTTAATTCACTTTTTCCGCACCAACTAAGACTTTATAGCCTACTTCTGCTGGGGAGCTGGGAGTTATAAAACTTCTATCTACACCTGAAGCTGTGCACTGAAAACAGTCGCAGTTTCTTTCTGAATATTCATCAATTTTAAAAACACACATTTAAATTGAAAACACATTTTAAAACCTATCAGTCTCCCACAGGGTTATTTTATTTTTAAAAGTGAGATAGGGAGAGAGAGAGAGAGAGATAGCTCAGTCCTCAAACAACAATCTTTTTCCCGTCTGTTCACAAAGGTTAGATTTATGTTGAAGAAAAGCGGGGGGGGGGGGGTTGTATTGCATTCAACCACATTTGACATTGCCCATTACTTAAGGCCTTTAGCCTTTATTTCTGTGTCTGTTAAATGGAGTTATGATGCTGTCCTTCTCAGTGGGCAAAGAGAACAGTGACCTTTGGCCAAGTGAGAAAAGAGGGCGGCAACTTCTGGAGACCTTTAGGTACAAATACTCCACTCTTCCCACCCCATGATTTGGAAAGAGAGCAAACGGTAACAGGTTATTGTAAGCCCATTTGGAGGTTGGGAAAGGTTGGTAGTAGTAGAGGCGAGTAGGGAGAGGAGCTGGAGTCTTGGATTAGATGGTTTTCAATCTCGGCTTTGTTGCTCATTAGCTGAGTAAAGCTCACCGAGTAATTTCATTTCTCCGAGGCTTCTTTTCGCTTTATGCAAAGTGAAATGGTACTCTCAGCTTTCCTACCACTCAGAACTGCTGTGAAGTCAGATGCAACACTGAGGGATGGGGAGAAAGCTCAGCGGTCCAAGTGCCTGTCTGGCAAGCACAAGGATCTGGGTTTGATCCCCAGTACCACGTGCCGTGCCAGCCCCACACGAAGCTGGCCACCAAAACCGGATGTGGTGGCGTACACCTGTAATCCCAGTGCTGGGCAGGCTGAAACAGGAGGATCACTACGAGTCTAAGCTGCATAGTGAGACCCTGTACCAAATAAAGAAAGAAAGAAAGAAAGAAAAGAGTAATTTTTTCTAATGCAACAATGAAATTAGATTGGTCAACTCCAGAGAATAGCTAGCTGCAGTCAGGTGACTTGGGTGTAGGTACTGATTGCAGGACGTGGAATTCACTGGATGATGTCGGCCCTGCCCCAGGGCCCTCCCAGGTCCACGCAGGTCCTGGGTCTGTAAGCCTGACACTTTGGATGCAACTAAGACAGCAGTGTTTCTACAAAGAATGTGGGTGGAAACAAGAGAGGAGATACTGTACTTCACTGGGGAGGAACGTTTCCGGAAGCTGTTAAAGGCGTGTGCTTTACCTGCCTAGGCGGTTTCCCTCACATGTGCAGCTAGAGAAAGCTAAAGCTTGAAGGAGGCCTTGGGACTGGAAAAGATGAAAGTGGTGCTAGAGCAGGGGAAGCAGGAAGCAAAATGTGGGGCTGTTTTCAGTTGGGAGCAGGATTTCCACTCAGCATTGCCGAGGCTTAGCGTGTTAAGGTTTCACATTTGCGAAGAATAACCAGCCAGCATGCCACAGTTAAAGCATGCAAGCTCCAATCTGTGGAGCACCTGGGTCCCCCTGGCCCAACCTTGCCTGGTGCTCAGAGGGATGGATCACTGTGTGTGCAAGGCCAGAGTCTCCCTGAAAGCCCTCTTCTTTTTAAAACTCACATAGTGGTAAGTGTATCTGTGGAGTCCCTGAAGCAGGAATTCCCTTGAAATTCTCATTTCTCTCTGTGGTCCGGAGATGGGTCTTGACCACATTTGGGTATGGAAACCCTTCAGCCTGGCTGCCCCTTGAGAGTCATGTTCTTTTTGAAAAAGAGTTTTACGTAGAAAAGAAGAAGGCTGTTTTTTTCTCTCAGGATGAGAATATCCCTCTGAGCGCAGTGAGGGCTCTACCAGAGTAACAGGATCCATATGTTGAAGCTGGCGGCTGATGCTCAGCATGTGGGCCAGTGAACTTTCCAGGCAGAAACATGCCTTTAATTCTCCAAAGAAGGCCCTGTAAAGTCCAGAAAAGACCATTACTCAGGTGAGGGATGGTGTATGCGCAGCTACTCGGCTTCCTAAGCCCTTCCTTCTTGTGGAATATGAGCCACAGAGTGCGAGAGAGGAGGCCCTGGTGTGCAGCCTCTGTGAGGCCCCAGGCTCCTCCAGATAGCACAGGGCCTTACCAACACTGAGCGCTCTCTCTGTCGTCAGTGCTGAGGGCTGCTACTCAGATTGTTTGTTATGCGGAAAGGGAGCATCCCCCTCTGCACGAGCCAGCGCTGCATTTCTCAGGGCACCCTCCAGCAGAGCCAGGAGGCCTGCGCCCTCACTAGAAATGTCTGTAGAGAGCTTGGCACACGTCCCTTCATCTGGGAAGTGAGAAGGCAAGGCGGGGTAAGTTCTGAGACCTCTGGGAGTTTGCAGTGCAGAACTGAGTGGCCCCAGACTGTCTAAAGAGGCATGCCGGGAAAAGCAGGCTCTGCCCATCTCCCTGGCACCTGCGGAGATGGCATCCCTGGCCAGCACGATGTTCGAGGGCAGCCCTTTGCCATGGGCTGTGTTCAGGAAACAGGAGAACCTTCCATTGCCCTTAGCTAAGAATTCAGTGCTGAGCCCAAGTGAATTGTCAGCAGCAGGCTGAGTAAGGATGGAACTAGATAACCGCGCTATTGTTCCAGCCCAGTGTCTGGAAGAGTCTGAGCTGGCCCTCCCACACTCCCAAAGAGAGCCCAGTGCTCTCCTGGACTGTCCTGTGCCTCCTTTCTTACCCTTACCCTTGCCACTGCTCTCTTTTCAGTTTCTGGCTTCATGGCTCTCTGGCTCTGTTTCTGTGTCTCTCTGTCTCTGTCTCTGTCTGTCTGTTTCTGTCTGTCTGTCTTTCTGTCCATCTGTTTCTCTTTCTCTCCCCCTCTTTCCTTCCCTCCCTCCCTCCTTCTCTCTCCCTCTCCCTCACCCCCCCCCCAACCTCCTGCAGGTTTTCCAGTCACCTGCTTTGTCTGTTTCTGGCTAGCTGGGAAGCCTGCAGCCCAGCACTGAGGTGCTCACAGGCACTACCTCCTCAGCCCAAGCATTCCCTTTCATCCCTGTATTCTGCTGAGCCCAACTGTGGTCTCTTCAAATGCACACAGACTCAGAGCTGAGGCAAGCCCAGCCTGCAAGCCAGTCACCATGGCAACGAGCTTTCCTTCCATTCTGCTGTGAAAAGAAAATGGCTGGCTGTTCTGAGGAAGAGCTCACTGAGTCTCTGTGACCCAGCCTGCATTGCTCAGGCCCCTCCTTCATGTTGGCTGTGAGGAGGCGCTCCACGCATTGAACCAAATATCTGTCAGCCTTCAGCTTTCACATTCACTTTACCTAAGAGAAGAGACAGAAGGAGGTTGAATTCAAATGAATAAAGCAGTGCTTTTCTAATCTAAAACTATATATTCACGAAGGAGGAAGAGTTATCCGCTCTGTTTGGAGCAGACTGAGATCTGGTGCAATGTATTTTCTTATCAGTGTACTGGATGGACTGAACTTGGAGATACTTGAATAAAAATTCAGAGAAAGCAGCCAGGGATATGGAGGTTTCCACAGGGCTACAGGGTTGCAGAACAATGTCTGGCCAATTGAGGTGGTGGTGTTTGATGTTTCTTGTTGCATCAGTAGGTAAGGCGGGCATTGGTCTGCATCCTCTGCTTCCAAATCATCTTGAGTCTTCGTGCTCACTCCCGCTCTGGGTGATAAAGCGGGAAAGTCCTGTGCATAAATCTGAGGTGACTTCCTGTTCTGGACACAATTATGGGGATGCATCAGAGTGACCACCAAAAGGGACTGTTTGGGCTGTTTCTGTGAATCCAGAGTGTGGCTGTTTGGAACAGAACCATGGGGTCAGAAATGCCTAGCTCGGAGGTCCCCAGGAAGTTCCACAGTGGAATGGCCTGCGCCGTGTCTGCTACTGGCTATGGCATCCGATGCTTTGGTGGCAACTACGTCTCAAAATCCAAACAACCTCCACCCTTTACCCTTTCTTAGAGTGAGCCATGGACCCTGATTTGAATAAAAGCAATGGGTTTCATCTCAGAACGTTGAAAGTGTGTTTCAACTGGGCTTTGTCTTTTTCAGTTTCTCTGCAGGTGGACATCGTTCCCAGCCAAGGGGAAATCAGCGTTGGAGAGTCCAAATTCTTCTTATGCCAAGGCAAGTGCCTTTTGTCCTGCTGCCTCAAAGTACATCAGGCAGAAGAGAGAGGCCCTTGAGTACCAGATGACAGCACCCAGAATTCCGGGCATTACCCTGCTCCTGGGCCAGTAGTGGGACCATTTAAATAATGAGGCAGCTCTCAGACCCTCTTCCTTCCTCTCCAGTGCCACCCCAAGGTAGTGACATGTGCCACCAACACTTGTGCTTCACAATGGAAGAAGCGTCCTTTTAAGAAAATCAGCACAGCTTCCAAACAATGCATTGTCTCTGATCTCCTGCCCTGTCTACACCCACAGTTCTGTCTACACCCACAGTTCTGGAAAATACCACCGTCTTAGAAATCATGCTTCGGTAGATCGATTTAAAGTCAATTTCTTAGATTGTTCTAGACCTAGAAAATCTGCAACTTACCTGAAAGTAAAATGAGTACTGGTCTCTCTTTAGTTATAAGGACATGGGTTTTCCAGGTCCATTATGAAAGTCAGTACACACCCCATGGCCCCTAACCGAGCTCTACGGTATATCAGACCCAGGGTCCATCTTGTCTGCCTAGGACATATGCCCCTTTTCCACAGCTCCAGTTATTATTAGAAGTCCGGGAAGGAAATGACATCCAATGAGGCCTGCAGTCCTGTGTGCGTGGCACGGCTAGGATTCACAGCATGGCAGGACCCGGAAAGAGCTGAGCTGGGTGTAAACTGTGCCATTATCAAGCAGCTTTTGGCAGAGAGGGCCATTAAGTTCTACCACGATTCGCATCAGATGAGGTGGCCATGGCCAATGGAAGCATTCGCTCCAGCTTTGCCTTCATTACAGCAATTTCAGGGCTCTGGAGATGCAGCCATGGCGCCTACAGCACAGCTTGCAAATAGCGCTATTGATTGAAAACATGATGGGTGCTGAAACGAACACGGCTTCATTTCCATGCTAAGCATCTGCGCCGAGCTGGGTGCTACAGGCTGAGGAGGCTGCTGCGAAGAGCAGAGGCAGGGTGGGATCCCAGGCCCCTCACCCTGTGCCAGCCCAGGGTCTGGTCCTGTCCAGTCACAGCGGTCTGCCTCTCATAGGTGCCTAGGCAAAGGGGGTGTGAGTGTTGCTGGCTGCCCTCTTTGCAGCATGGAACCAGGTGAACTTGTCCGTGGAGGCATCTGGGCAGCTGTAGAAGTCACGACCATGTGGGCAGGCAGAGGCTGACATCAGAGTGACTGGAATCTGCTGCGTTCCTAGGCCAGCCAGTGCTCCTATATTCAGCCCAGGGGACCATCATCTGACTCCACAAAAAGAAGCAGGTCACAGGGCACTGACCAATGAGGTCCTTGAGCATAGGTCTTACAATATACTAAGTGTCTTTATTTCTCATTCCATGCAGCATGTTAAGTTCCTAGCTTAGTGACAAAAGCACCGTGGGTCCCTAACAAATTTCTTTGCTCTCACTAAAGAAAATGAACTCACGTGGTTATTGAGTTCCTTCCAAATACACTAGAAGTTATTATGTATATAACAATTAAACAGAAGCCAGAGGACAGCTGTGAGACATCCAGATATGAATGCTCAGCCCTACCTCACAGGCCAGCCTTATGGTTGTTCAGTAGTGCTTACTGAGGACCAGTATCACTCTGGGAGGGACATTGTCCTCTCAGTGTCAGTGGTTTGAATGTAATCTCTTCATCTTTAGTAGCGGGAGATGCCAAAGACAAAGACATATCCTGGTTCTCCCCCAACGGAGAAAAGCTCAGCCCGAACCAGCAGCGGATTTCAGTGGTGTGGAATGACGACTCTTCCTCCACGCTCACCATCTACAATGCGAACATCGATGATGCTGGCATTTACAAGTGTGTCGTCACTGGAGAGGATGGCAGTGAGTCTGAGGCCACCGTCAACGTGAAGATCTTCCGTAAGAAATTCTTTCTTCTGTATTCGATGCTCTCCTTGGTCAGCCAGTCACACAGGTGGTAGTAGAAAAGATGAGGTGGCCTTCAAGGGGTCAGTGAGGGTCTACAGCTTGCTTCTTCTCTTCCTTTCAAGTCTTCTCACCTCACTTAGAGTCCTGGCATAAAACTCTGAGTTTTCAAATGGTCTTTGGCCAACTCAGAGCTCACAATCCTGACCTCTTCTGGTCACAGCTGTTCCCAACTGGCCTTCATTCTTCAAATTCAAACGACCCAGTTTCCAGAGGGGTGTTAGGGGTCCCTCTTTGCCTTCCCCAAGTTTTGACTGACAGGTACAGAATTCAGGCTTCTCCTTATATTTATCCTCCACTGGTAATGAAGTCCAAAGACCTTGTGCGGCAGGAATGACTATTTGAATGCTGTGTGACACTCAGAGCAGATATCCACTGAAATCCCACGTGGAGGTGACATCTCATTACCTGTTATTTGGTGTCTGGTCTGTCCTGTTGGCCACAGTCATGGTGGGTGACATCTAATGGGGCAATATTCATCGCCACAGTATTTATGGCCATTCTGCATGCTCTCCTCCTGTTCTTCAGGGATCAGAGTGGAAGAGTAAGAAAGGACTGATGACGGCTAGAATCATTAGAAGAGATGTAGAGGAGGCCTCTACCACATGTTGTGCCTCATAAACATCATTGCATGTAGAAGGAACCACTGAGGAAGAACCTCCCTTCCCTGTGCAGACACCCTTCCGTACAAAGTGTAATGAATTCACTGTCCAGTGTTGCAGAACACTGCTGACATATTTCATTTCCTGTCCTGACTGTTCCACCTGGTGTCCCTGGCCAGTATTCAGGGGGATCCCCCTCATACAGCTGTATCTATGGCTGGAGGTTTGCCTGCAACTCAAGTCCAGGCAGCATGACTCTAGCAAGAAGTGATCCTGTGGTGAACCTGGGATTTTACTCACGCTTCTCCTGCTCATTTTCCAGAAAAGCTTATGTTCAAGAATGCGCCAACCCCGCAGGAGTTCAAGGAGGGAGAAGACGCCGTGATCGTGTGTGACGTGGTCAGCTCTCTGCCCCCAACCATCATCTGGAAGCACAAAGGCCGAGACGTCATCCTGAAAAAAGATGGTAAGAACTGAATTCTTGGTCAATATCCTTCCCCAAGCACTGTCAAGCTCCCTGGGTTTCTATTCCTCTCAGCACCTTAGGCACCCCAGTCCAAAGTCCAAACCCAGATTCAGGCACCCTAGAATCTGTACGCAGTTTCCAGCTCCTAACTCATATTCCATTGAGACACCTTTTCTTCTCTCCAAAACAAAAGAAAGAGTTCTCCTAGACGTACTCTTGGCTACATTCAGAGCCAAGGACACATTTTCCTATTGCACTGCAAAGCCTCACCCCATAAGACCAAAATTAAGACAAAGGAAAGAGGCTCAGCCACCTGCCTCCAGATTCCAGAGTTCTCTGACTGATCTTTGGATGAACCTGCCTCTTGTCTCTTCTAGTCCGATTCATAGTCCTGTCCAACAACTACCTGCAGATCCGGGGCATCAAGAAAACAGATGAGGGCACTTACCGCTGTGAGGGCAGAATCCTGGCGCGGGGAGAGATCAACTTCAAGGACATTCAGGTGGTTGTGAACGGTGAGGAAATCTGTCCTTCCTGTTCTCGCCTTTGCTGCAGCCTTGACTCCCCCTAGCCATTTTCTTTGATTTCCTCTTTGGTGTCTGTAATCAATTCTGTCTTGATGTGTGCACACTCCGAGCTGTATCTTCTCCCCGCCCTAACCTCTGGAAGCTTTTGCTCACCTTGGTTTGTTTTTTTTTTTTTTTTTTCCTTCCATTTTTAATATACTTGTTTTTCAGGTCTGTCCTCGACTAGGACGTCTTGTTGTGTCTTTCATTATCTTGCAGCACTAGGCGTTTTCTCCATCCTGACTACTAAGTTCTTCTTCATCCTCATCGTCCTTGATGTTACCGTAATTGTGAAGTTGGTCCCCTTGGTTCAGCATGCAGAGAAAATATTACAATCAATTCAGATCTCAGAATAGTCAGAATCCCATTGCATAGGCTTATGAATCTTAATTTGCAGTGTCAAATAAACACACCCATAGAATCGATCTGACATTTACAAGATGTTTACAGGAAATTATAATGTCAGTACTAAGAAAATAAATAAATGGTGTTTGAATTGTTTTGGCTATTGATAGGTATTTTTTGCCAAACTCCCTCCCTCTCATTCCTTGGTAAAAACAGCCTGTGCACAAGGTTGTTTATGATTATTCCAGAGAAATGTCACTCTGGTAGCTGGCTTATTTCAAAATGGTATTAAACTTATGACCATCAGAAATAGTAATTTCCAATTTTTTCCAGTATTGAGAACGCCCCCTTTTGCCATCAAGTTTGACCAACACTGGTAATTATTTAGTGCGCATTGACTGAGAAAATATGTAATGACAAATAGCTACTATCAACTGATTTGAACATGAATAAAATGTAACATTGCAGCTTCTAGACTTTTGAAAAATAGTAATGCATGTTTGTGGGCAAATTGTTTCTTTGGTTGCATTAATTATTTACTGCACAAATGAATTTTAGTCCCTTGACCAACTCTGCAGCCATCCAAGACCTATAGCCCCCACATGAAACTCCCTCACCTGGGGACCTGTGAAGTGTCTCTTCTCCAGCCTGTTTTCTTCCAAGTTTGCACGGTGACCCTTGACATCTTTGTTTCCTTCAGTGCCACCCACTGTCCAGGCCAGGCAGAGCATTGTGAATGCCACCGCCAACCTGGGCCAGTCTGTCAGCCTGGTGTGTGACGCAGATGGCTTTCCAGAACCCACCATGAGCTGGACAAAGTAAGAAACTGGCTGGTGCCTTGTATCATGGACTAGAGAAGAAGGGGCATCGTAGGGTGTTCTTCATGCTGGCATTTCAGTGGCATGGGTCTGGACTTCTGGCAAATGTCTGTATGAACAATGAATTATTTTCTGTAAGGCTCCCTTACTTTATGTATTGGATTAGTCTTTCATTATCAGTCTTGTGGGGACAGGTCCAGAAGATGTGGCCTGGGGGATCACAACCTCATGAGTGCAGTTTAAAGCCCCTGGACAGAGTCGGAGGAGTGGGTGGAGAAATGACAGGTATATGCAGAGGTACAACTTGGTGTCTTCCCTTTTGTGAAGACTAAGTATTCATCTTGGCTCAGGGTGCATTTTGTGGAAACTGATTAAAACTACACGTCATAATTCTGGGGTCAAAATCACAGTCTTCTGTACTTCTGCACCCTGTAGGGATGGGGAACCGATAGAGAATGAGGAAGAAGATGAGAAGTACATCTTCAGTGATGACAGTTCCGAGCTGACCATCAGGAAAGTGGACAAGAATGATGAAGCCGAGTACGTCTGCATTGCTGAGAACAAGGCTGGCGAGCAGGATGCCTCCATCCACCTCAAGGTCTTTGGTAAGGGCAGCAGGAGTCCTCTCACCCAGGATCCACCAGAAGGATTGTCCACTCCCCTGGAGCAACCATTTCTTAGCAGTTGCACCACCTAAGCCCCAATCCACGCCACCGCCAGCTCACTGCAGGGCGAAAGTTTCCAGCTGATCTCCCTGCCTACCCCACTCCTGGTTGTCTTCTGTCCCTTCTACTCCCAGTAACCAGAATGTCCTAAAGCCCACTGCCTTTTACCAAATCCTGTTGCAACCAGAAGAAAATCCAGTCCCCCTGCTATGGGCCAGATATATGCTGGCTGCTGCCTGTCTCCAGCCTCATCTTCCCTTCCCTTTGGTCCACACCGGAAATTCCCCAACCACACACACTTCTTTGGGTCCTTCCAACACAAACTTGTTCCCTACTTCAGGGACACTGCACTTGCACGTTCTTCTGTGTAGAATATTGCTCCCAGAGATCAGCTCTGAGTGGTCTTCTTCCTACTGTCATTCAGGCCTCAGTGCAAGCTCTCCTCTGTGCATCCTGCCTTTATGCCCTGGTAACATAGCTCCCCCATCATCATTCTAAGCCTCCCTTACCTCTGTGAATTCTTCCACTCCCCTTACTGTGTCTTCTTCATGCACACAGCAGTACCAGAATTGATTTTATTAACATACATGTTTGGGGAATTGCTTATTTCATATGTCCACTCACACAGAAACTCCAGGATGTCAGAATCCTGGCTTGCACATTGCATTCTTCCTGGCACTGTCAGCAGCTCCAGACTCATAAGAGGCGCTGGGTAAATAGCAGTGACCAGCCCACTGGCTGCCTCACCTTCTTGGCTTCCTTCACTGGCCTTTGTGGAACTGTCATAGCTGGCCATGAGGAGTCCCTGCGTCAGTGCTCACAGTGTCAGCCTGACCTCAGTGAACTAAACCTCCGTTCATTTCTGAACTGAAAGGCACTTTGACCTGACCTTCTAAAAGGAGTTTGTTGCAGGGAACTGTTCACCTTTGTGGCTTTCAACTCCCTCTACTTGTCTGTCAAGAAAGCACAGATTAGCCTGTGCTTTTTTTTTTATTATTTAGGACAGCGTGTACAGGGTCTCAATGTGTAGCTCGGACTCGTAGTGATGTTCCTGTTTACAGCCTCCCAAGTGCTGGGATTACAGGCATGCACTACCACACCCAGTCTCAATCGCCTGTCAGCATGCCCCGGGGGCGGAACCAGCACACCAGGCTTGGGGATCGAACTCCCAGCCCCTGCATCTGCCTAAGCAGGTGCTTTAATCCACTGAGCTATTTGTCAAGCCCTTGCATACTCTAGATAGTACAGTCCAAGTACAGATGTCCGAGGGGCAGCCCTGGGCACACCCCTCCTAGCAAGTCAGAATGAGTATCTGGAAACCATCCATGGGACCCGCTTTTCTAGCCTCTTAAGGCTGTGTGTCAACAGGCAGTTGAAATCCAAGTGTGTGTATGCAAATGGCCCTCTAATCACGAACCTTATTCCTTATTCCTCAAGATTCCTTGAGAACAACTGGATTCAGAAATAGGTTAGCAGTTTGAGACAACTGGGTATACTTGAGAACAGAAGCGAAACTTCATGGAAAACATCCTTGGTAGACTTCACCCTAATCTCCCCTATCACTCTAGGTAGATACCTTCCTGTCATAGAAAAGGACAGATCAATTTATTAATTGTTTTCCTCCATTTACCAAATACTTACTGAGTATCAGTGATGTAGGATACTGGCACTACAGAGATGAGTAGCATGTTTTAAAATCTTTTCATTTGTTTTTATTAGTACATGTTTGCAGTAAGGAAAGCATTCACTGTGGGGGGTTGCTACATATACACTACATCTTTTTTTTTTTTTTTTT